GTTGATGACCTTGACGAACCAAGACGGACTTGCGTTGGCGCCCTGCGGCATCCGAAGCCATTCGAACAACTGCGTGGGAGTGCAAAAGGCGGTGAGCGGGACAGTGTCTTCATCAAAAACGATCTGGTGGAAAGCCGAGTTGAGGTCGAAGATGTAGAACACTTTCCCGGTGTACAGAGAATCCAAGATACCGTCCACTCGAGGNACTAACCAAGAGGGACTTGCGTTGGCGCCCTGCGGCATCCGAAGCCATTCGGACAACTGCGTGGGAGTGCAAAAGGCGGTGAGCGGGACAGTGTCTTCATCACAAACGATCTGGTGGAAAGCCGAGTTGAGGTCGAAGATGGAGAACACTTTCCCGGTGTACAGAGAATCCAAGATACCGTCCACTCGAGGGAGAGGTTGTCCATCCAAATCCACCAGAGCGTTGAGACGTTTGTAGTTGACTGTGATGCGAACAGATCCGTCCTTCTTGGGAATGACAACTGAAGGAGAAGCTCACGGAGATGTGGAATGTTGAATGAGCCCTGCCGCCAAATACTGGTCCAAAACGGCATCCACTTTCTTTTGCATCAACGGGTTGATACGATACGGGCGTGATGCAACGGGCTTCGTCCCTGCTGGGACAGAAAGCGTGAACGGCATTATGGTGCAGGAACCAAAATCGGTTTTCGAAGTAGAGAACACGTCAGAATACTCCACAAGGGCGTCGGCCAAACGATCAATAGCCTCCGGTGTCCATCCCGGATTGTGTAGATCGAAAGCGATGTCGTGCATATGTGCGGGCAGCCTAGCCCACAAGCGCATGAAGCTGGAGCGCTGTGCCTCAGAGGAGCGGTCGAGTAGTTCTTGTGGAGGCGGCTTCGGAGGAGGCGGGGCGGAGGCTGGGTCCGGAGAGCGGTGAGTCCCGGACTTGGGGCCAACGGCGTTGACCCGAGGTGGTGATGTAGATGTTGTGGGGCCGGTAGGAATCGAAGATGGTGCCGCCTTCAGGGTTTCCACCGGTACTCGTAGTAGCGGCGCGGCAGACACTCCAATAACGTCTCCCGGCTCGAGCTCGGCACAACCTGCAAGGGGAATACGCTGGAGACCATTTGAAACGAACGCATCTGGGGAAGAAAGCGCACCCACTTCGGGTTTGAACGATACCAGATACTCTCCAATCAGCGCAGGCATGCCAGAAGAACGAACGAGGTCCACCTCAACGAGTGCAGGCTCCGGCCCCAAAGAAATTCCCGAGCTCCCTGCATATTTAAGGTGAAACGAGGAGGTAGGAGCGTCGTCGTGTGTAGCGTAAACGCAAGCGCCAGCTGTAAAACGCGGAGAGAGCGTGAGCTCGCCCATAACCCGGCCGTCCGGTCCAGGGTGGGGGAGGGTGGTGAACACGCGAGAGTTGAAGCGCATCCAGCTATCACGACCCAGAAGCACGGCGTGCCCCATGGCGGCGTCTGGAACAACACAGGCCCAGACCGCCAAGGAAGCGGTAGCTCTATCTCCATGGAGAAAATTAATGGTGAGACGAATCGACCGGGTGGTCACAAGGGCGGGTCCATCACCAAACCCACCCCAACGACGAGAGGGCGAAACACGAACGCTGCCAGCTGTCAGGGCTCCGGCAGCTATCATGGCGGTGACCACGGAGTCGGAAACGAAGGATGCAGGAGACCCAGAGTCCAGAAGCGCCACTCGCGCGAGTTGAGAAGTGGCTGTAGGTCCTCCATGCAGCAGGACCCGGGTGGTGTATGAGTCCGAGTCCAACAGGAGCGTGCCGCCGACCAGATCGGGTCCATGTTCGAGAAGAGGAGGCTGGTCTGCACAAGCGGAGGTCGATGCCACCAGATGAACGCCAGGAGCATGGTCCCCCGGAGCGTCCAAACGTAGACAAGCTGGGTCTTCGCCAGGGTCCTTCCGTAGCGAAGAACCTGTAGCAGTAGCAACCTCATGAATGCGTCGATGTCCATGGAGAGGAGGCTGCGAAATGGGGGGCGTGGGAGAATTGGAAGCGGGGAAATCTTCGCCAGAGAGGGGATGATCACGCAAAAGGCGTCGAACTTCCATCAAAGCTTTTCCCAACAAGTTTTTACCGCTAGCCGCCCACTTGGATGGATCGCTAGCATCTGGAAAGCATGCAGACATGCCGATACCCCAAACACGATCGAAGGGGCTGGCTTCTGCAAGGAGGCGGGTACCCGTCTCCAGTAGATGATGTTTCATGTCATGGTTTTGAGCAAATTTGGCGTACGACCCCGTAAGCACGATCTCTTCACGACGACGCTCCCATTCAGCATAGTCGAAAGGACGCACATTTCGACCCAAAAACTTGTGTGTCTTAGGATCTGTTGCAGCCATAATTTTGTCATACAACGTCATATCTCCAGACAACTTCGCTTTTTCAGACATCATGAATTGCTCACCACATGAATAACGTACCCCCAGTACGTCAAAAGACGAAGGAGTCCATTGCGAGAACACAGACGAAGGTTTCCAGAAAAGAAGGACGTCATCCGAAGCGTACTCGCACTTGTCATAAACGGCGGAGCCGGTGCAGGGCGGAGGGGCAAAGAGCGGGCACCAGACACAGGCGGGGGTGGACCAGGCAGACGGGTCCTCTTCTCCGACAGGGAGGACCCAGAAAGCGAGGCAGGAGCGGGCGAAGTCGCAACGCTCCGTGATCCGGAGGGCGGCCTTAGGGCGGCGGCTCCGGCGGGGTCAATGTTAGCAGAGGCCATTCGGCTATTAGAGACCCGTTCGTTAGGAGAAGTCATTCCTGCAACAGACGGATATTTGATCATTGACGCAGGGCGCTCCTGACTACTCCCCCTTGACGAAGGAGCCGAACCTTCCACAGAATGGTGGGCACTACCATCCGATCCCGATGGCAGTGGTGCAGTCAGCACGTGGTGGGCAGC